AGCAGGTTTAGAAGATTCTCATAAAGCAGATCAATAATACTTTAACAAGACAGCGTGCAGTCTTCTTGCAATCTGTCTCAAAACAGCTGCAAGGGCTGGATACTCGCATCATGTCATTTGCTTTACAATCAGTACAGAGAACAGTCAAAATAATCTTTCGCTTTGGGTTAGAGGAGACCTTTAATACAAAAACCCCTTAAATTAAACTGAAATGGAAGCTACAGCTTCAGACCAAATATTTATAGCCAAAGAAATATATGCAGCTTGGTAATTAAAACTTACTGGGAAATTCACAGAATTGGACTATTCAGCAAACAAACAGGGTATATGGCTTCAAGATTCTGCAATATAAGTTTACTCTGTTCATGTATCGGGTGGATAATTTACAGTGCGAGAGGTACTAAAATACTTAGCAGTTGTGTGCTAACAGAGGATTTGCTTCCTTGAGTGGCAACTTAAGTAAGAATGGTAGTATGGTCACAATCATGTCATAATTTTTATACAGGCAGTCCTTGGACTTACAACACAATTGGTTCCTGAAAACAGCGTCTTAAGTCAAAACGTTGCAACTCAGAACCAATTTTCTCATGAGAAACAATGTTATAAATGGGAGACTGGTTCCTGAACTGAGGCCCGACACGCTATTTTCACCAAAAATACTCCCAATTATAGACGAGTAGTATAGCTACACTGATGCATTTATATTGTAAATAGCAATCATATTGATTTGGAAGGACTTCTTTGAGGTGACTTTGCTGGACTTTTTGAAGGGCTCTTGGCTGGACTCTTTCTCAGGAGTCTTGGCTGCAGGTTTTTCTGGAGCCTTGTCTGCTTTCTTAAAGAAAGTGTCCAAGGAAGTTTGGACAGACGTTCTCCAGGGAGATGGGCGACATAGCAAACTTGTTCGCTGGCACAGCATCACATCAGATCAAGCGTTGTAAGTCAAAACTGACCTCAAAGTTGAAACAGGGTGTCAATTTATAAAGGTTGTAAGTGTGAAACGTTGTAACTCGAAGCACTGCAAGTTGAGGACTGCCTGTACTAATATTCTATCAGGCCACATTCGCAACCGATTTTCATTACTCAAGCGATGGGCATGGCAGTCTGAATTTGCGTTCACACTTCATCCTCTCACACAAAGTAGCAACTTGCATAAGGGGCCCCTGGTTTGTGATGGGCAATCATCGGCAATACTGAAATCAAAATAAGCAGTATGCTCAATTCCTGATCTATAGCTATATCCTCATTTGTCTGGAAAAAAATTAAAAGAAACGTCTCAACCACAACTGAATTGCTAGTCTTTTAAATGTAATCAATACTCATACTTCTTACTGCTGCAGTTGCTGGTCACCTGACCTCGTGTATCGTATCCAACAACAAAGCCTCTCTGCTTGAAGTCTGAAAAACACCTCTCGAGATATTTGTATATCCCCTGCAGAAAAACAGGAGAAACCATGCAGTTAGGTGCTTTAAAGTGCACACAAATGCCACAACAGTAGAAATAAGATGCTCCAACTTTGCTAGAGTTGGAGAAACCACGCATAAATATCTGTTCAAACAATGTTTCAGGGTTATTCACAGTATAAGTGCATTTTTATTCCTAATAAATATTAATGAATATAATTATAATTAATAAAATATAATGATCATTCTTAATAAAATAATAATAGGCATCATCTCTGAACCAAGAGTTTTAAAGTTTTGCATTTCTTTTTATTCCTAGAGTGTTTTCAGTTGCAAATACTCACAAGAATCTAGTCGGCAGGCAGAAATAATACTATGACTTAGGTGGCGAAAAAGCATGAATGGAAAGTTACTGCTGGTAAATCTTTTGAGTGCAATCTGGAAGATGAGAACATTGTTTTCAACCCACCCTTCAAATATGCCATAACGCAATTCATAAAAAACAAACTCCATTTGTTAAATAAAGAGCTCACTCAACTCAGGCTTGCATAGCACAATCTGCTGAACAGGAGACATACTACTTCTCACTTCCAACCTGAAATAAATCGTCCTTTCAACACTGCTTCCAGCTACAATACATGTAACAGAATAATGACTCTTCCTCTGAAGAAGAGACAGGTGCTAAGTCTCCATCATACATTTAAGGAAAGTTCGCTATTCAGAAGTAACATGGACTTTCAAGGTCACTGATCACTCCATCTCCAGCCTGCTCCCTTCTTGGACGGAAAGCTTTGCTTCATTGGGTATTTAAAGGCTGTAAAATTGACATTTCTGCTGGATGTGACTTCCCTGCTTAGATACCTCCATCTAGGTTCTCCCATAATACATCTTATTACCTTCAAGTTTGGCCATTACTTCCATACTGAAGTCTTCAAACTCAGCATATTTCATTCTTATCACCATTTTCATTACTACAGTGAGTTCCTATCTGTACCAGTTTATCACAATGAACAGAAAAGCTCGTACTCCGTGTTATTTTAATGCTACCGCGTTTTTTCATGTTGCTGCAGCATTCTATATTGGGACAGGAAAGTCAGGAAACTAACATTTCCAGCAGGTCTGCCGGGCTACAGCATGCACCGTTTCTGATGCTTCCATCCTTCAAGAAGGCAGAAGACCTTCTTATGCCCTGCAATCAGAACTCGTGAACGAGAAGTTATGTTGTATTAGACCAACTAGATATTTGCAAACAAATGATTGTATTTATTTCCTGTGCCTTGCTTACTTTTCCAATCCCCTAGGCATCACCTGGTTGCTCACTCCCTCCATCAGTTCTTTTTGACCCTCCATGAGCAGAGAAAGGATTTCAAGGACGGGAAGAGAAGAGGAGAGAGTGCAACAGAAAAAAAATTTAAAAAAAGAGAGAGAAAAAAATCCCTTCAACTGTATTATGGCAGTGTGTAAAGGCTTCAATCCACATTAGGGGCCTAAGAGCCGTGCAGATGGTAACTGTCCCTGCAAGCAGTTTGCTAAATATCAAGTTCTTCAAATGTTTAGCAACACACACAATATGCTTTGCTATGGTTCCTATCGGCCACAGCGCTTTGTCGCTCTGCATTTCAGCAGCATGGTAACCACATATTCATACTGACTCAGCTAACTGAAAATACTTCATTTCAGGAAGAAGTTCTGGGCTCCCCCCGCCCCAATCTCTGAGACGGTCAACAGTAATTTGGGGTGTCTAGCACAACTCCTGCTCTTGCGTGCCCTCCAGATAACCGCAAGAACGACGTGTACTGAAACCCACTATACTTAAGGTGTATTTAAAGGAAACAGATTTGAATGACCTCAAACACCATTTAAAGAAACTGCTTTATTCCCACAGTGGATAAACGCAATTTAGCAAGACAAGGTTACTCATTAAAATGCTCCCATCAAGCCTTATTTCTAATGTGATTAAAATCCTGAAGCAGGAAGACTGAAGTCTTCAACACAGAGACTAAGGCAGAAAGGTTTTTTGCTGCAGAAAGAAGTCTTAACCTGGTTCCCAGAGGCTGCTTTTTTTGCAGCAGGCTACAGCTCTGATAAACAGCCACAACATGGATTCTTTCCAGAAGAAATATCAATGACTTCGTTCCTACAAAACCCATGATACTGGGCAAACGCAGATCAATCCCCTGGTGACCAAAACAACGCTTCTCACTTCCTGCCAAGAAAAATTAAACTTCTCCCTTCCTGACAGCCAATCCGAGCTCACTCACGCTTTCGGCGGACTCAAAACACAAAGGCAGCATGCAGGTTTCAGGCCTTCTGAGCGTGAACAGCTCCACAATAACAGCTTGTACGGGTCAAAGAGTCAAGCAGCTATTATTTAACTTCCCCTGCCTTAACAAGACGTTTCCTTAGACCTTAAAGGCACTAGTCTTTGTCCTTGAATCTTTCCACTGTTCCTATCACTTGTACAACAACACCAGCGCTGATGATGGAGGGCTAGACCAGACTAATTACCATTGTTCAGGCGCTGTGTGGGCTGACGCTGCGCAAAGACCTTCATGAGGCC